AATTTACTAACTTGGAACCAACAATTTGAGCATGTAACAGTTTCTTAAATGCTGCAATAAATTGCAAGCAGTAGGATTATTATTTCTGTAATGATTTCTCACTGTCGAGAAAAATAGTTCAAGATGATCCTGTGATAATTTGTAAGTTAATGAATGGAAGTATTTCGTGCTATCCAAATATCAAAGACGTCTATGCAAGGAAATTGTTCCGATAAATTCTGTCTTATAATAATTATTGTGAATAATTAATTTATTATTAACAGTCAACGATTTTATGTATGTTTAATGCCCGTTTCTACCAATGTGAATTAATTTTAATCTCGGTTCAACTTACTCTTCATCTTTTTCTTATTCTTAAAACTAGAAAAAGATGAAGAATTAGTTGATTAAAGTCCGAGATTAAAGTTAAACTACGTTGTAAAAACGAGCATTAGAGCTTTTCATCAAGCTCCGGTTAACTTAATTAATCTAGTAACTTACTAGTAACAGGATTCCAACTGAAATAGATATCGGAGAAAAAAATGCGAACTGAAGAGTTAATACATTTACATTTACATTTATAATTTCTCTCTTTACATTTTTTTCTCCAATCATCTGTTTTAGTTGAAATAAAATTATTAGACTGAAAGCCGTATTAAGGAGCTCGATTGTGTATTTTGAAATGAGGTGAAAATTACAAGAATGAGCAATGATTACTAGGTATTGGCCAATTAAATTATGAATATTCTAGTGAATTTGTTTACTTTTGTAATTTTCACTTCATTTCAAGATACACAGTCGACTCCAAGGTAAGAACTCAGGGTGCTGTCACATGCAGCGTAACTTGAGCTGATCAATCATATCATTTCACTTGAACATCAGTTTCTGCCTAGTTACTTTATGCTACTTTGTTACACCAAACATGATGGAACCACCATGTCGAATCCAATTTCTGGTTTTTTAACTTATTCTGTCTGAAAAAATGCACATGAATTTCGATTTTGCAACAGTACAATTATAAAAGTCGTGCGCCCTTTTGCATCACATGGAAAGTTTAAACCCAAACAGTACAATTATAGACCTCAGGGTCGATTCTATATCTTCAATCAAGGTGAAAATTACAAAAGTGAGCAAATTTACTAGGTATTGACCAATTAAATTATCTCTAGTATTCTAGTAAATTCGCTCATTTTTATAATTTTCACCTCGTTTCAAGATACAGAATTGATTCCCTCATTTTGCCTGTGACAGATTTTCTAACTCCAAACATCAACTTTGCTTAATATTTCGAATCACAGGATAGACGATGCTTTTTTTGCCAGATTCTTTCATTTCATATAAAAACACGTTGAATAAACCTAAGAGTGGTTTTCTTCTCACAAAATTTTCCAATTTTAATGATTCATTCATCCACTCATGTATATACCCAAGAACTTTGATTCTTTCTCTTGGAAATTTTCACAAATTGAAAAATGATTATTCTACATTAATGCTCAAAGTCCATGCGCAATGCGACACGACTAAGGGTGTGAGCTCAAGAATTGTCATAACACTTATTTAGAGACTTAAGTTGTAGACGTAAGTAACGTACAAGCTTTGGCGTATGACGTACAATTTATTGCCGTCTCTCTTGGAGACATGGTAATAAGTTGTATGTCATACATGAAAGCTTGTGCGTTAATTTGAGCCGAATATAATTCTTCAATTTCACATACATATAAATATTGATAAAAAAAATGAATGCATAATTAACCAGCTGTCATATTTGTATACATATATATATATGTATATATATATATAATATGTATATATAGGATGGAGTGACTCGGCTCGAGATTCAGCTTGAAGCTTGAGGTTCGCTTCGAGGTTCATTTCATATTTTAGCTCGATAATTTGGATGCAGCATTTTCAAAATATATAATTTGTAATGTTTTATTTACTTTTGCAATGTCGCGAATAGTTACTTATTCATAACACAATGTAAGTTGCAATAAATCTTGTTAACAAAAAGAGTATTAATTTAATATAGAATTGATTCATCAGATGTGTGTATGTGTGTGTGTGTATGAGATGTCAACAATTTGTTAGCAGCTATAACAAAATTTGCTGATATAATTTGACAAATTGATAAAATACGAACAAACGTATTTATAAATATATATAACTTGATAGCAAATTAGCAAAAACCGAGCAAGTTTTGTTCAAATTTTGAGCAAGTTTATTGTAAATAATACTGTGCCAAACTTGCTCAGTTTTTGACTTGCTAATTTGCAATCTAGTTTTGTGTTTTATTTGAAGCAAAACAGTTTACTGTTGACACAAAATGCATCGGATCTGTTATCAATCTTTGACATCAAACAGCATTTGATGCTAACTTGATAACAATTTGCTAATAATTTTTGTTTACTGAATATATTATTATTAAATTATGACTTGTAGTAATGCATCCTATATATGATAATAATAACATACATATTTTAAGAAACACTTACGTTCTAAAGCATTCTTAGAAATTATTATCATGTAATTGTTTATTTAATTCAGTCAAACTCTGCACTTGGTTTTTTAGTTTACATCTTTGAATTTGCAAACGTTGTATTTTCTTTGCCTGTTCTGCAATTGTTTCCAGAGCAATTTCTAATACCATTTTTGCTTCGTCTTGATTTTTAGATATTTCATATACATTAATATCCTTCATATGTTTAATATGTTTCAAAGGAAAATCTATTTCTTCATTCTTCATTAATTTTCTGAAAAAAGAATACATTAATATAAGTATTATAAAGATAATAATGCTAGCCAAAAATATACTATCATACCTTTTCAAGTTAGGATTATATTTTGCAGCATTAAATTCCATATTGCATTCTTCTATTTTAATTTCATCGGATTGTTCTTTACATATATTCTGAAAATGTGTTATATTTCTTATCACAGTTATATTTCTATACTGAAAATTACTTGATTATTGTTATGTAGTCATTCTTTAACTACCTGTTGTATTTCAATATGAAATTTTTTTTCACTAGATGCTGCTGTATTATTATTGGCATCAGAATTGATTTCTTGTGAAATAACCTTAGGAATAGCAGTTTTTTTAAGACTCGCTTTTAGTCCATATATTGTTTCTTGATAGTCTGACGATTTAAAGTGGTTAGAGCACAGCCGAGCACATTGTGGAACTTCATTCATATTGATTGCTTGCAACCATTTGCTTTTTCAATCCTTATCTTTCGGAAACCTGTAAATTACAACATTAATTAACATTGTCTCTCCTTCTCCCTTCCTTTCTCTCTCCCTCTCTCTCATTCTTTTACTTTACATATTCTTTATTTGTAACTCGCTGAATTTGTCAATCATACTATAAAGAAAAGGAAACAGCATATAATTTAAATATATATTAAACTATTTTATGTGAATATGTAGAGTACTCAACCAATACTATAATATAAATATAACTGCCTTATAATGTAACAATAACACATATTATAATAAATATTACATATGGTTATTATGATTAACCTCTTTTATAAAACAATGGCGTAAATATTATATATGAAATATACTTACCTGTGAAAACTAGATGCAGAGATTGTGGTAGTGCATACCTTGCATAAGATACAATAATTCACCATTTTATTTACTTTTATTGATATTTAACTATTTTACGTCATATTCTCGTTAAGGGCACACTTTGACACAACATACAGTACTGCTGAATCAACAACAATCAATCAGTCATTAATAAACAAAGAAAGAATGTTCATCCATTCGGACAGAATCAAGAGAGAGTGGAGCAGATTCAGCAGGAAGCCGCCATGTTTAGCGTGCCATTGAAGTGAATAGGAGCGTAATGGAAATATTAAGCTCATTCTACAATGGGCAATAGCAGTGAATTAAGGACTAGATGTAGAAATCAACCAATCATAATCGAATGTGAGAAGGATAATCAACTATGATTAATCGATTTCTCCTATTCTTTAATTCACAACTGCTATTGCCCATTATAAAATGGGTTTTAGATTTGTTCACGTTGCATTCTCTAACATGCTCCAATGTGCTTCTGTTACAGCTTCTACTCAACGAGTGCATTAAAATGAATAAATACATAGTAAGAGCATTTTAGAGTATATCAGAGTATGCGACGCGAACAAACTATTGTATTGCATTAGTATTATTAAGGCACTGTAAACCTGAATATTCGCATATCCGCCATTTTTATTCCTTTCCTTAGTCCTTGCTCTGTTCTCACTCCGCCACTGAGCTGAGAAGGTTATGATTGTTACGATTGTTATAGCTTCTAAGCTATTGGAAACTTTGTAGCTTCGTATTTATGTATTTCCATTTCGAAATTTTACCATAAGACTAAGAGACGAATAAAAGGATATAAAAAAATTGAAATATTATATAATAACGAAGACAAAAAAATTTATAAAATGCCTTTTGCATTGCAATAAACTTATCAATAAATCAGAAAAAGGTATTCGATTATTTAAATTTCTTGCGAATAATATTCGTCGACAACTTGCTGTATTGCTATAAAATAAATACATGACTTATGAATAAATCATCACTACACTTCCTCGCAGATGAGAAATTTTAATCCTTTTTTTCAAATTGATATACATTTGACACCTTATCAAATAACTTGAACACTCTTAAGGTCCTGCACTAATATTAGGTGTGGGAAAAAGTTCGTGGCGTTTTTCCCGTTAGATGAATTAAAAAAACATCACGAACTTTTTCCCACACCTAATGTTATGATAGATATTTAACTGATTTTGAAAATAAAAATGGAATGAAAGGAGCTACAAAAAATTTCCAGCATCAAACACAAATCATAATCTGTAATGATCATAACTCGTCATAGTTCAGTGATGGAATGGATGGATGGAGGACAGAACAAAAAGTGAGAAAAGGAATAAAAATGGTGGACGTTTTTAGTGTTCTAGTATTAGTGTATTAGTCGCCATATTGGTTCTAGTGAACGTATTGGAGCGTGTTGGCATATTGGAGCGTATGACGCGACAAATCTCATGTAATGCCTCCAGGACACCAGTGCCACAGTATATATAGTAGCGCAACTCTCTGTCGGTATCTTTGATGTTAGTTTTCCAAAATGGTAAGTTCCCATTAGTGCTATCTGAATTTCTTTCTCAGTTGCTCTTTATTTTTCCTCTCTCTCTCTCTCTCTCTCTCTCTCTCTCTCTCTCTCTCT